CCCGGCCCCCTGTTTTTTCTCAATAAATTAAACCAGAACGCTTCTTTAGTTTCTCAACTTTATGCAAGTTTTCAACAAAGAAACGGAGTTTTTGCTACAAACTCAATCGTTGTACTCCCTATATCTTTGCAATCCTATCGCGTAAACCATAGACATTTTAAACTATGAATTATGTTAAAATTGTTGAAAGTTAGAGATCTAATTTCTTTTTAATGAGCTCCAGTCTTGAAAAGAGGCGTGTATCACACTCCCCTTTCTTAACTTTACGGTCAAAATTGTAGACAAAAATATCCCAATCATGTTAGGGTTAAATGGAGTGAAATATAATTAGTTTTTATGATTGATCATGTTTAAACTAAAGTCTAAAAATGTTGATATTTATTTTTTACTTTTATGATACAAATGAAGATGTTTAATATATGATACGATGATATGATGACCAATATGATACGACTCAAATCGATTATTAAGCACAATAGATGGCAACAGAGAAATGGACCAATTATACACAAGTGTCAAATGTAACGAAATTTTCTCACATTAGTTGACATGTTTTCCAAGATTAAATAAAAAAGTGTAAAAACAGAAAATAAAGAACACATAAAATTGCACTTATTTTACTGTAAGATAAGCACTTTATTCTAAAATTATCACTATTATTAATAATTTTGTTGGACACAAAAACTAAATTGACACTTGTGACGTAGGAATACAGCTGTACTGAGAGTGTACAAATTCTACGTTGCCATCTAGAATCTACTTTATATATAACCTAATTACAATTCCATTTGGTTTATTAACCAATCAAAAAAATGTCTTAGTTTTGAAAGGAGTGTGAAAAATAACGAAAAAAACCAAAAACAAAAAAAAAACATAAAGGTTAATTAAAAAATTAACAAGTTTGATGATGTATTAATTAATACGTACGACAGGTTTGATACTAGTAATACCGCAGGGTTATGGAACTATGGAATAAGGTTTTTTAAGTTTGTTATTTTTTATTGATATTGATCCCTCCCCTCGAATGGCTTTCAATGGTTTCAGATTTTCATTCAATAGTTATAAGATCAATCAATCCTGATACGTACAAAGAAAAATTTATTTAGTTTTTTTAAGAGGCATGGAATTTACAAAGTTCTTCAAATTGTGTATTGAAATTAAATGAGCTAAGACTATTTGTTGGATTTCAGAATTTGTAATTATATTCGTGATCATATATTTAAATGATTTGTTCTCACAACAATTTTTTTATTTATATTTTATAAAAGATAAGTTCTATTATCGAACCAATTTTTGTTTACATTTTTATACCTTTTTTGACTTGTGATAAAGATGTTTTCTTGCTTGTTTCTAAATTTGAAAAAGTTCCTACAAAAGTAAAAGTTTTAAAATATGTGTTTAGAAAAGCTGAGATACTAGTGGTGGCACATGAGTAGAAGGATTGAACAATTATAAAAAAATATTTGTGAATATTTTAAAAATAAATTTTTGTAAATATTTAACGCTTTTAGGAATTATTTTGTATATTAATAAAGATATTTAGTATTTAGTATTTTCTTAACAAAAATAATCAAAACAAAGAATATGACTATAAGGGGGCGGTCATGAAGTTTTTCTTAAAGGGACTGTAAGCGTAATTTCTCGTGACCCTGCATGTAAAGATTAAAAGGTTTGTCTGTTCAAGTTTTAATTAAATAGGAATGTTATAACTTTTAAAAAAAATTAAAATCGTGGTTTTTTTTTACAAAAGTGACAATTGCGTATTTCTACATCCTTAGAAGTGGAAAAACATACAAATTATCAGCATCTAGTGCTTTTAAACCGCGAAAAACAACAAGATCTTTCAAATTATTGATCAGAGAAAGGTTTCAAGGGTACCGTTGTGAATCGGGCATTGTCATTTTTTTCATTGAGGGTCTCCTAAAACTATGCCAATAGTCCCTTGAATAAATAAATTATATTAAAAACTTGCCAAACCTGTGTCTTCTTACAGATAATATATCTTTATAGATATAAAATTGTTTTATATGGATAAATTGGATCCAATAACTGAGATTTGAGCAAGAAAAGACTGATTTGTTGACAGAGTAAAGGAAACCAATAATAGATTACATTCCTCTATAATGAAAGTAATCAAGTTGGATTACTAGTATTCGGTCTTCTACAGGGCCTTTAGGAACCTTTTACTGCAAAACCTGAATAGTGGCAATCAAGGAAGTTAAACCAGGAACCCCTGAAATAGAAGCATAATTTGTACTGAGCTGAAAACTTTAGAATGGTGGATATCGAGATGAATGCTAGATCCTATCTTTTTGCAAATATCAAAACTAATAATTTAGTCTTTAGATTAATTTCTTGGGATTAGAGATGCGCTTTTTAACTTTTGAAAACCGGTTTTTAATTTTTGCGCATTTCTGGTGTTGATGGTGTCATATCAATTGAATTAATGATCGATTGAACGAACGTTCATATTAAAATGCATTAAATTTATATTTGTTTAAATGCTCTAAAAGCCGGCTTGTGAACAGCTGACTTTAGTTAAATAGGATATTAGTCCAATCGATATAGCATCGTATCTGTAATTGTTATCAAATATATCTTCTATACAGAAGAAAATCAAAAGTGTGTACATTGGATACTCAGATTAAGCAATCAGGATTAAGGATATCTCATTTTAAAGTTTTAGCTCTGTACTCTTTTGGAAGAATAGCAAACTCAGCGCGCACCCAACCTTTGAGTGCTAATCAAGGAAGTTAAACCAGGAACCCCCTAAATAATAGATGCAATGTACTCTACTCTAAGAGAGGAATGTGGAGAATCAACTCAGCGCGCGCACAATTTGTTAGTGTCAATCGAGGAAGGATATGTACTGTAAAAAACTCAGAGCGCACACTAAAAAATAAATTTAGTTTTAATTTTTTTAATGTGCTGGCCTTGAAAAGTTGGACCCCTGGGAACATGTATCACACGCCACGTTCTTTACCATAGGTGGGGTGAACCCCCTCCCCCCATCTATATTAGCAAAAAATGTATTGCTTGGTCCAGGGTTAAATTTTCTTTCCGTTTTTAAAAGAAATTTTACCGATTTACTGACATAGGGTCAAACGACAAAGGGTCAAATGCCACAGGGTCAAACGAAAAACGGTGAAAAACGTGACAAAGGGTCGAAAAATGCGACAATCGGACAACATTTTTGGTTTATTTGAACTATTTTTATGCTCATTAGAACAAGTAGCCAAAGCGCTCGGCCCCTTATCCTGTCCTAGCCGCAGGGCTTTGACCAGAAATTGTCTTAACCAATCCTAACCCTGAAATAATACAAATATTTTTTCCTTCATTTTGACCATTTGTCGCGTTTTTGACCGTGTAGCTTTAAACCCTGGGTCGTTTTTCCCTTTGGCTTTTGATCCTAAGTCGTTTGACCTTAAGTCGTTTGACCTTAAGTCATTTGACCTAAAGTCGTTTGACCCTATGTCAGTGAACCATATCCCCGGCCCTTTGTGAAGATTTAAAGACTGGATAGATCAGCAGGATTAAATAAGCTGAGTTACCGAGACATCGTTTCCTTCAAAATAATTGACAGGTTGACATGTGAGAAAGATTTTAGATTTCCCAACACATTTACCTCTACTGTATGTATATATCTATATTCAGATCCGTGAAACAAAACTCTTTTTGCCTTTTCGGTTTATTTTACCATCTCCAGGGCATATTCTAAAAATTATACAAAATAAACAAATTGAATAAAGATCAAAGATTAATTGAATATAAGTTTGAATTTTATGAATAGTGGTGGTCAAATCTAGGATCGGGGGGGAGGAATGGAAAAGAGAGAGAGAGGGGTAGAAGAATTTGTAACTTCAGAACAGTTTGTTTATTAATTGTAAAAAAATGAAAATATTGGTTCAAGATTATATCGCTGTAATTCCATTTCATTTCAAGTACCAGGATGACTTGACCAGCTAGAGCAAGCTGTACAGTGCTCACTGTATAATACACATGAATGATCCCCTTCTAGTGAAATATATGTAATATATTACATACAGGGTGTCTTACATCAAATTAGACCGCGTTAATGGGTCTAAATTACGATTTGGGGGACAAAAATTTAAGAAGAATGAATCACTTAAAACTTAATAAGACTAATCGAATTTTCTTTTTGCAGAAAGTGCAAGATTTTTCTGATATTATGTGCGTATTTTGGCGTTAAAGATCGGAGATAATCTAATATGACATATGATATGATATATGGGACGCTCTGTATGAATATTGTGCTTGCAGTATCTGTGTTAGTTAGATGTATATATTTCGACTAACATCGCTTATATTACATCACAATAAATACATTTTTAATTCTATAATTTATAACTAAACAGTCACTAGCCAGGGCTGCTTCCTAACCATTTCTTGTTATTTTGATTAGTTTTATAGATACATTTTATTTTTTGAAATCAACAAATAACTTCTTATATTTTTCATATTCGTTTCGAAATTAAGTACTGAAAATGTACATTTAATATTTAATGGAATACTATTCCAAACTTTCGTAAGAAATATTTTTGTTTCTTACTAATTCTAATTATAAACTTTGTGTCCTATTAGGTTCTACAAATGGAGCAAACATTCCATTAAAAGACAACGGAAGTTTTTCTTTTATATATTTATACATAAAAGAAGAAGCATTATATATTTGTGAATATCAAATTATTTCGTTATTACATTGTTTATTATGCGCCCAAAAACTCTGCCCAGTGTTAAATCTATAAAAGTTAGACAAGATTAAAAAAGTATATTTTTCAAATTCATACAACTTTAAAAAGAACAATACTTTTAATCTGTGTAAGTCATTTTCGCAGAATATTGTTTTAATTTGATTCTGAATTTGAAAAGTTTTGTGAATTATTTCTCTAAACTTTATAAAAGATGACTTTTATTTTTCAGGTTAATTTTGTCTAATTAAAGGATAAAGTTTTAAATTCTTTGTTAAACAGAAAACCAATTTGTTTATTTATTTGAAAACTTGATCAATTATGAAAAGGTTAAGCTGATCCAGTTTAGATTGAATGAATTGACGGGTGTATAAACCCCTTGCCTTCTCCCCGAACCTTTAATTAAACTTAATTAGTCCAAACTTTTATAATTAAACATCTTTCTCCTGCAACAGAGGGAGAAAATTTAATTGAAAATATTATAATTAAATGGAAATATGACGAGCACCTATAAACGAGAAATATGAACAAAAATAGAAGTTCAGATTAGAATTAAAATTAGAATTGTTGAGAAGTTCTCTGATTCATTATGAAAAGAATAAAATGGATTAAAGGAGAGGGAGGGTGGACGTTTTTACAGTAAATATTAAATAAGGATTCTACAAAATATGATACTTGGTACATTTTTTGTCGTCGTTAATAAGTAATTTAAAAAAATGAATTTTCAAAATCAGCCCACTAAATTAGACAACCCAGGAGGATTTTAAAGATAGAATTTACACTCTTACTGAACAATTTCGAACTGTAAAAAAGTCTCAAACGAATCCTGGAAAATGTCTCAAAATAATACTGTATTTTCTACTCAACTACCATGTCTTTCCGGGATCACTCCCTTTGAAATTGTGAAATAATAAAAAGTTTTATTTTGCAATTTTAAATCAAGTAAAAATAAGATAAATTTACCTTATTGCCAGTTCAAGAAAGAGGGATGGGATCAATTATTCCTCAAACATTTTGCAGATTTTACTGTTTTTATTGGAGGATTTTAAAAGAAATTTTAAAATATAAATTTTGTTCAATCCTTTTTTTTTAAGGGACCTGCAATTAGTTCAACCATTTTGAGGCGTTTATTGCAAACACTAACAAACAAATGAACATAAAAAACATCCAAACATATACATTATCTATATAAAAGGCTCTTTGCTAATATACATATATTTGTATATGTATATGTTAACTATAGCTTGCCAAATGGTTGGACCGGATTTGCTGAATTTTTTTTGGGAAACTCTTTGATGCTTGCAGGTGGTAACTAAGGCAAAAAATTAAGATTATTTTCCAAAAATAAAAAAATAAAACATTTTAAAAATCTAAATATTTTTAAAAGTATTTCTAAAATGTCACGGGCACCACCAGGCTAGTTTATATATATAAAAAATATATACAGGATTGAAGATGAAAATATTGCTATGAGGGTTTTGAAGCAACAAAACAAGATGGCCGGGGGATAATCAACTTATTCCAACACAGGAAATTCACAATATTTATCAAACCCAAGAGCTCTTCACCAGCTGCAGAAGCTAGACAATCTGGAGGGAAAATTCATCCAGGAATTAAAAGAAATTTTTATAAAATTTAAATAAAACTTACAGTGATAACCAGAAAACTCTGAAATAGGAAGACGACTTTTAGAATCAATCTATAACTCCAATAAGCAGGATACACATCAATTGTGCATTTCAAACAGACCCATTTCACTAGGTTAGTGATTTGATTAGCACTTGTAAAAATATTAGCTTTCTAACAATAAATCAAATACACTTTAGTAGTTAAATAATGTCGTCTTACTATTCCACTGTTTTCTGGTATCATTGTATAATAATTATAAAAAAGTTTTTAAAAAGCTGAAAAAATTATTGATAAAAAAACCACTTCTGATAGATAGAAGTTTAAAAATTCCAGCCCTTTTCAACAGTCAAATTATATCGTTTGTTTTGTAAAGTATTATAATAGGAGACATAATTGAAACCATGGCGCGACCATGTGTTCAAAAAGAGCTCAAGCAATGGACGAGACTATATAAGGGTCAGCGTATTTTTTAGTTAATTTAATTCATATACAGCCTACGTCGTTTATATCAATACAATGAAGACCACTTTAGAAATCATGGATACACATAAACAAGGAAACAAAGAGAAGGTGCCAATGCACAGCTTCATCTTTGTTTACTTGTAAACTTGTAGATTTAACAAAGCTTTAACACGCACCTCTGCCCCTTTAGTAAAAGTAAATTCATCCTATATGATGGATGAAGTCTGACCGCGTCAACCTTGTTGCGCTAGTCCTGTCCATAAAGCTAGGTTCAGTACAAATTCTTGTTTTACTAAGTACCCTTATAAAACATAAACAAACAAAATGTGAACATAGCAGACGAAACTCTTACAGATTACAGCTTTCTCGAATTCGTCACTGAATTCCCATGTTTATTGGGACACCCTGTAGCTTTAAAATCCATTCATAGCAATTTCTGGATACCTACAGTGGTAGGCAATTTTATCAATACAATGAAGACAACTTTAGATTTCAATTTTTGATTTCTAGCAAGCTTTCTAACAGCATGGATTCACATAAACATGGAAACAAAGAGAAGCTGTCAATTGACAGCTTCTCTTTGTTTACTTGTAAACTTATAATTCGAAAAAAGATTGTTAACAATCAAAACTTAAATAAAAAAATGTTTAATCCAGAGCTTACATTGGCAAATTGACAATTCCAATATATTAGATTATGTTTTGAATCTTCTTATTGGTTTAAATATTGTAAACAAGGGACCTCTCATCTCAATGCGCATAGTCGACTCCTCAAAAGTCCGTCAAGAAATTCGATATTGGTTACAAATAATCAATTAAACCCCCTTTATTCCTAAAACCCAACCTCTTCAAAAGTTTCGGGCTCAGGTCTCACGGGATTGAGTAATCTATCATAAGTTTGAACCATCTATTTTAAAGTTAAGAAGTATTACTTAATCTGATCGAAAAATGAAGATATTAATTTTAAGTTTAGATTTTAATATACTAATTTATAATTTTCAAACAATAAAGTAAAGTCTTAAATTTTTCTTTATGGCAACCATCTTTCCCTATAAATTAAACTGAAACACGAACAACGCTATTTTTATTTTTCTGTTTTTGATGACGAACTTTCAAAATTTTGTTGAGAAAATTTTTTTTGATTTTGAATTATCGTGAACCTTACCTGTGATTTTCCACAAAAACCGCCTGATTGGTTTGATATATTTGATATATATATATATATATATATATGTATGTATCTATATATATATATCTATAGATTAACTATTAGATTTATTACAGATGTCTTTTAGTTTAATTGCGGGTCTTTCAGTTTCTAAGTAGTGTTAATTAGTTAAGTATTCTAGACTGAATTACTGAATAAGCCCCTTGGCATAGAATTCCTCGCATAATCTCTAATTAGATCACAGCCTTCTCCATAGAGATGAGTACGTTCAGAATTTGTTTTTTTTCAATCATTCTGAAAAAAAATATTTCGTTCGTACTCAAAATTATCGTTAATATCCTTAAAGCTTAATGTCGTTTGTTCATTAAAAAAAGGTCGTTTTCCAAAATTTTTGGAACATTCTGTCGTTTAGTAAAAAAGTTTGAAGGATTTCAAATCGTACATTTTTAATTTTTTTGTTCGTTTAAAAAGGCGATCCTTTGTTTATGTCTCTGACAATCCAAGTCGTTCGTCAATCTTTTGTTTGTTTTCTGAACGACACCATCTTTCATTAAAAATGTCGTTCGTTCTCAGAAACGCTGTCCATCTCTACCTCTCCATCCTTCTACGTAAACATAAGGGGGGTATGTATTAGTGGGGTTGGGTGCAGGAAGGAAAGACAGATAAAGTGAGGGGAGATTTGCAAAAAGAATTNGAAAGAGTGGGGGGGGAAGGGAATGAACAGTTTTTGTGAAATCTCAAGCGCAATAAATTATGCAAAGTTTTTAATTTTACTGTATATTAAAGTTTTATGAAAGAAGATCTTGGATTTAATTATAAAAGTTCCTTTTCATTAGTTAGCGCTGAACAGAGATAAAACTTAAAACTTCTCATTCTAAAGATTAGTCTTTCATTTATCCAACAATACTACATTAAACAACATATCAAGATTCCTTTATACTAGGGAGGGGGTGAGGTAGGCCCAGGCAAAGTTCCGTAACGAAACGGAGGTTTTCGCAAAAGACGGAAGAGTCCGTTAATGAACGGCAAAACCGTTGATCTTTAAATTGTTAACGGAAAGGATTAGCCGTTAAAAAAATTTACGGTTATAAATGACATGGAAATTTTTCTGAAAGGGTGACTTACGTTTTTTCTGCTACATATTGCATTAAAATTGTCCGATAACGCCGTTAATATAATTGAGGTTGTTAACTAACGGTAACTTTAAAAAATAACGGATAATACTATTAACGAAAAGCAGTTTTGTTCTTGCCCTTTAGAATTTACGGCTACCTGAGATTTAATTTTAAAAACCGTTGGGACGTTCCCCGCCCTAGGTTCAGCCTGCAGGGACGCCATGAGCCCTGTGAAATGGTCTCTAAACCTCTAAATTCGCAGATGAGTATTTAAAACTATCTGTCGCTACCTGGTCGCTACCCCATCCCTATCCTTTAAAATAGATATTTCACGCACCTCTGACCCTTTAGTTAAAGTAAATTAAACCTAATGTATGAACGCCTCAACCTTGAGTGTCTGCTTTATTAACCCGATGTCCGAGCGATACAGTACAAACTGGGACCGAAAAGGTTGGCCCGACTCGGAAATTCAAATGTACTCCGGCTGCCCGTGATTTATAGATGTAATGTCTAAATTTGTTTAGAAAAAAACATTTGTTAGTAATGCAATGTTTTTTTGTATATTTAAGATAACACTGCATAACTATTTAAAGGTAAAATATTTTCTTTGAAAAATGCTATCTATTATATCTATTCTAACGTTTAGGGTAGCGCCAGGTCATTATATTTGCGAATAAGGCCTGAGGGCTTGGAGACCATTTTTCGGGGCTCACGGCGGCCCCCCCCCCCCGTCCTCCCTCTTTATACAGAACAAACAGATATGGGGCAGTGTACAAAAATGGAAAGAGGGATAGAAAGGGTAAAAAGCTAAGGTTGCATAAACGATCGATTGTATGGAATTTATTTATTATTTACTATATGTATTAAATGAAGGTGACTTGAAACTAAAACGACAGTTCTTTTAATTAAGATTTGACCAGAAGTATATTATCCTAAACCTAGAGTCTTTGTTTAAAGAGGATAATAAGGGGAATGTAGGGGAAGGGGATTGGGTAGGGTTCGGGGGGGGGGAAGGGTAGAGAGGGGGGATATGTAATGAGGGGAGTAAAGTTTTGATGGAGTATTGGACAAAGTTAGAAGATTAATCCTTCTCATCTTCTAAATCTATACATACAGTGGAACATAAAAACTATGAAACATGAGACTACATTAGAACTTAACCCCTGAATGGCCGTTATATGGCAGTAAACAAATTGTAACATTGTGCCGGGACAACTATAGGATTGCTTAGCCTATCCCCTGAAAACACTTATTTGCAATTTTTGCCGATTCAAAAATTAAATACATCCTTTCCCCTTTCTCGGTTAAAGGAGGGGCCAGGGGGAGGGAGTGGGGGCACCACAAGCCTAAGATGTATTGTGGTTATTTTTTAAATTATTTTAATCAATATTTTAATAAAAACAGAGTAATGTGGCAAGTATATAGAATGCATGGCTGATAAAGAATGTGTGGTATAGTCTCCGAGTATTTAAAACAGTTGCAGTGGATGTAAAAAGAAAATACAACTCAATTGAATGTTTATCCTTTGATTTGTTAGAAATGGTTGAACTGGTTTAAAAATTAGTTGTTTGTTTTTTCTAGTTTTAATTCTCAGGAGCTAAGTTTTCCACATACTCGAATGTTCTATAATTCCCTTTGTGCATAAACCCTTGATATTTCAAACTTTTATTTAATGCATAGTTTGAAATATCAAAGGTCTACGACATTGGGTTGCTAAAATAAAGTGATTAGAAAATCAGAGTCTGTAGCAAAAACTCAGTTCCTTGTAAAAAAGAAATTAATTTTTTCAGCTTAATTTACATACTCTCAAGTCTTAGTTTCTGTGACAAAAAGCAAAATAAATCAGCAGTGTCTTGGGAGAATGTGGACATACAAGGTAGTTCTGTAAATTTAAATTTGATCCGGACCTGCACATAGATTCAGCCTGCTTATAATAAGTCTCATTCATTTTTAAGACAGGGTCGACTTTGAAGTGTCGCAACTCCTTGGGCTTTGATTTTACCGCTCTAACTCACTTATGATTTTCTGTAGCCCTTTACATGTATACATTCTAGCACATTAAATCACTTGTTGCTAGCTTTGGTTTTTAGGTAGTAATTGGCAAAATTCTCATCGATTTTTGCTTGAGAGCGAGAGAGGCCTTTAAATCACAGTGCCTACTATAACTGCCGGTTCAAAGAACCTGTCAAATCTTTCGTGTTGGGATGTTTAGAAAGATGAAAATTTCCCTGTATGATAATTGAAGGACTGCAGTATGGTTTTGGTGAATTATATTGGCGTACAAAGCCTAGGGGTGTCAGAAATGATTTTTTTGCATATTTTTAAAAACTTCTATAAAACGTTTAAAGTTTAATTTTTGATAAAACTTTTTGTTCTGGATGATTGCAAATATCTATCTAAACTTTCTTAAACCGGCATATTTTTTCAATATTCATTTAGTTAAGAGTTTGAGTCAAAATAAGTATTAATAAATATTGCTTTATATCGAGTAGATATCCTTAAACATATCGATGTGAAACCTTACAGTGAGTAGGAAAGATTCTGCAGAACAAAAGTTGCCAAACAAAACAGAATTTTTATTTTGAACAAATATATTTAGAACTTATATAGAAGCTTTTCTGGGTTGCACTTTACTCTAGTTTTGCATTATTTTCATTAGTGTATAACAGTATAAAAGAGGTTTATTAAAATCTGCAAATTGCACATACCTCGATACAAATAAGTGCTTGTTATGGGATATTCAACAAAACTTTTCTTTCAAAATTTAACCATAGGAAGATGCATGATAAGGAAAAAATTTAGGATAAAGAACAACAAATGTAGGACGTACAGTCAACACATCCGCAGTGTACACTTGAAAATCCGAGCTGGGCCAACCTTCCATCTAGATCTACTATTATCTTTTAAACTTTATTTTATACTTATTGTTAAAGAAAAAAATGTGAATAAAAAAAGATTTTCTTGCACCTGATTTAGGTGAGAGAAGCTGTCAGTAAATGGATTGTACTTGAACCAGTTTTCTTCTTCTTTACATTCACACTTATAAAGTAAGAGATTAAACAACGCACTGTTAACAAACCGGAAGTATTTTAAGTTAACGGAAAATTAATTTTTAAAAAACAACATAATCGTTCATTTTTAACTCGTTAATAAACAAAAATAGCGGCAACTTTCGTTAATTTTCCAATTTTAAATTGTCTAAAACTTACAAAAATATTGATGTTTTTCAAGTGTTTAAGTGATTTTTAATGTTGTCTTAAAATTTTTCAGGCTATTTTTACCTAAACTTATCGTTAACGACAGGCTCGGTTAACAATTTCTAAAATATTTTCCGTTCAGTGCACCGTTAACAAAATTTAGATCGTTAACCAGTGGCTGGAAAAAAGTATTAACATGCCCAGTCCTATTAACAATCATTAAAAGTTAAAATTCAAAGATGAGTGTTGCTGAAAAAAAAAGAATATGATAATTATATATTTACTTTATTTATAGTTCCATCAACAAACAAAATTGCTATTTTGAACAAATTGAACGCATATCGAGAATCAGGGAAATACATAAAAATATAGGATGAGATTTTTTTAAGGCTATTTTTTCCCATTGTGCAATAATCTATTTCTAATGACAAATACTTCATATAAGTCTAAGTAAGTCTGTAACAGGAAGCATACAATTTAATGTAAATCTTTTATAATGAAATCACAATAACGTGACTGTTAACTGAAAATTAAAAGTGAAAAATAAAATAAATCTATTTTGTAAAAAGATGAAAATAGATTAAGTAAAAAAAAAATCGGAGAAAATAGATTCTAGTCCAATAAATGGCAATGTAAAATTTGTACATTCTCAGTACTGCTGTTTTCTGACGTCACAAGTGTCAATTCAGTTTTTGTGTCCAAGAAAATTATTATTGATAGTGATAATTTTTTTAAAACTTTAATAATTTATTTTTGGATAAGGGTTGTGGGCACAATTGCTCACGCATAAAATAAAAACGAAATATCAATAAATCTATTTCCAGTTTGTTATCAAAGTCTTTCTATTATTTTGTTCTGCTCAAGATTAGTTAAAAGTCATACACCCCAACGTTTTGTGTTGCGCCATTGATTTAAAAACTTGACTATGGGTAACCCTGTAACACTTATTTTGCGCGGGCTGATAGTGATAAATTTAGAAATAAGTGTTTATCTTGAATTTTATGTGTTCTTTATTTTCTGCTTTTACACTTTTTTATCTAATCTTGGAAAACCTGTCTACTAATATAAGAAAATTTTGTTTTCCTTGTTATATTTGACACTTGTGACGTCGTGTTTGATTGGTCCATTTCTCTGTTGCCACCTACTGTACTTGATAATCTATTTGAGTCGGAGTACGTGTTTCTAATGTATTTCACCTTGGCAGTACGAATATTACCGATACCAGCAACGTGTTGGTCCAACAAGAAACCAGTTCCTTGATTAGCTACCTGTCTCAACTAGAAACCGGTTTATCAGCCCTCGTCCTGCTCATCTTCGGACCTCTGTCTGATATACATGGACGCAAATCCTTTCTTCTGTGGAACCTATTCCTCATTGGAATTGGGAACTTGGGCTTTGTTCTCTTTTATATATTGAAAGATGAGTTTAAAATATATTTGGGAACTTATATATTTTTTATAATTTCTACAGTTATTGGTATCGGAGGAGGAATTTACAGCTTCTTCATGCTTGCATTCAGGTGAAAATAAGAAACAGAACATTGATATTATTTTTGGTTTAAAAGATTTTTTTTAGCAGTTCCAGCAAATTTTTTGTTTGTTTTTAAGTTATGTCGGCGATTTGTCTAATGAGGAACCAGACACTCGTATGAGAAGATTCAGTTTTGGAGAAATCATGGCAGTTGGTGGTATCATTGCTGGATCAGTTACACTCGGGCAGGTAATAGGTATAGCTAGATCTTCCGTTAAAATGCTAGCAACAAGTGGGACTGGATTATCATTTAATTATTCTACATGATTACCACTATTTAGGGGGGGGGGGGGGGAGGGCTGGGCACATTCAGACTTTTTTCAAGCTGGTTCCTAATGGTTAGTTAATATTGCCAACCATTTCCAACTCTTCAGGGTACTGTTTGTTATTAGCTGAGAACTAAACGATAAGTTCTTTTTTATTGCAGGGGAAAATTAGAAGACAACATTTAAACACAATAAAACATTGGATTTTGAAAACAAACATATGTTCTGTAACTATGCAAATTAATGTAGAAAAATTGACAAAAGTTGATATTATCTTTAAACATAGCATTTTTTTCTGCTAATTTTTTCATAAACATTTATGTTTTAACAGTAATTCCTTTAACGAACAGAAAAAACCGTTAATTTTGAGATGAAATAATCGTTAGCTGCTGGCACAGTTAACAATTATCTAAAATATCTTCCGTTAATGCCTTTAATAAAACTGCGATTATTAACAACTGCTGAAACTGAGAGAAAGAACGGAAAATACGTTGAGTTAAGGAACAATCAGTTCTTAGTTAAAAGTTGTTTTTTGAACAAGTTTAACTTTAAAAAGTTTTAAGGTGCCCAGCCCTTACTGTAACAGGGTTAAATAGCTCTTCTTTTGGAGATATTTTCCATTTAAAGTTGTGTTTAACTTTGTTTTAATATATCATCATTTGTCAAGCAATTTATCTTAAACTTATTATACTCACAAAATTTGTACCTAGGTTTCCCATCATTTTGGAGACATATGGGTTTTCTTAATCTCTTCTGTTTTAATATTTTTAGCATTTTTCTATGGCTTAGTCAGGTAAATGTGAATAAAATGCAACATCAAACACTATGTGCACGCTCTCACGCAAAAAACAAGAAGTATTTTCCAACAACTCCTTTTGCAGTTCAGTTGTAGAAACAACATAATAATGAATATGGTTAGGGCTATAAAGGGGTAGAAGTGAGTTTGTAAGGTAATTGGACTGTATGCAGTACGAAAACACTAACTTTCGTAGATGTAAAATACACTTCGTAGATGCAGAGCAAGTCGTGAGCGATTGCATAATTAAATGACGTCACTGTTTTCCACAGTTATGCGCATTATAATAGACATATGACTACAAAACAATTATAGTTATTAAAAGCAGGTAAACGGTTATGTCGAAATAGTAGTAACCCATCGCATTGCACACCTCTACTGATGCATTACAATGAAATTGCCATGGAATGTACTCCCTCAAGTGCAATGGAATATATATACTCCCTCCCACCCAAGGATTTTTTTTACGCCTATATGCGCCAATGGCGAAGATGTCGGGTAAATAATACTGGACTTTATAGGTTGTCCATTGGTCTGTAGAAGACTAAATATTTGCAGGGATCGCAAAATTACTGCATTACATCAAAATACTTGTCTCAGAGTAGGACAATTAACATATTTGTCTTTGTTTAGATTGATTTAAAAATTAATCGTTATAATAACAATTAATTCAGATTAAGAAATATCAAGCCTAAAAGCTTAGCTTCGAATCCTAGAACCCTGAAGGAAAGGTAATTTGTTAAACTTTTTATCGGAAATTATTTGACTTTAAAGATTGGACTTTTCCATGGAGGACAAACTTTACACTACAAACTCTGGTTTATTTGAAGTACCGATCTAACTTGTAAGCAGTTGAGCAAGTTGTGAAAAGACTAAAAAGCGCAAATCAAATGAATCATTGGAATGGCCATTAAAAGAGGTGGTAAATGTTGTGAATTGCAATAATTAAAATCAATTAGGTTCAGTTTGCCTAATTTTGATGCATAAAACACGCTGATTTAACCACATACAGGGTAGATTAGACAAGCTGGTACAAGTAAAAAGTAGACTAGTCAATCCTTGTACTGGTTCAGATCATGCAACTATCGGGCTTATGTGAAATACTAAACCTAAAACACTGAAATTTAGACGGCTTCTGTTTTGTTGACCATATATTCATATCATTCTTCTGTTGAATCCAAATCACATGACTCCAATCATTGAATAATCCAAACCGGTACGAGGATTTGCCGGTTTAGAGTAACATTACCAAAATAGCATTCAATCATACCGACCAGTCTAGACTACCCGATTGGCTGGCAAGATTACTGTGCGATGAATTCCATTAATGACAGACATTAACCCATGAAAAAAAAAACAGTTTATACCTTATTTTTTTATTGGTCAAATCGTGATTGTCTTAGCTCACTGGGAACTGGACCAATTTAGTTTTTTAAAAGGAATGGGTAGCCGGCTAAGCCTAGTTATCTCAGATTGAAGACACATAAGTAATTGTTTGATTTTTCATTTAGAATTTTGAACATGTTTTTGATTCCTTTCAAGTCAAGGGCCAGGAACCAGAGAGCTATGATTATTCTACTTGCCCTTTGCTTCTTTTTACAAGTAAATATTCCAGGTTTTTAACGTTAGAGGGACTGTCGATGTAGGCTCAAGTTTAAGAGTTTCATGGACGATTCACTACGGAACCTTTAACTCTTTTTTTTGAGAAATAATGTATTCTAAAAGGGACTGTAAAGGAAAAATGAAAGGGGGTATAGGATGACACCTGAGAATCCCAGGCGTTGAACGATACATAAGACATCTATCTGATGTTCCTGTCTCGAGAAATTGACATAAAACTTTGTCATATTCAGCAAATATGCAACCAATCTAAAAACGATCATATCCCACAGGAGCCTGAGATTCTCAGGTTTGCTCCTATTATAATTTTTAATTTTGATTTTGCATTTTTAAATAGATATCATTGATAATATTATTTCATATAGTCCGTATAGTCTGTATCACGTCACCAGAACTTCAGCCAATGGCAGTGCAGTATACTGGTCATGTGATACAGATGGAAATTTTTCATAATAATTTGAAAGTTATTACTCTTAATCAGCAAAATAAACCATCATTCATTTTTCTTTCAAGACATATATTATTAATAATTTTCTTTTATAAATTACTCCGTCTTTGCATTAGAGGGACTGTTAGCTTAATTTTTTGTGACCCTCCTTGCAAAGATAGCAATTCCCGATTTACAACGATACCCTTGAACCCTTTATCTGCTTTTCTAAGTTTAAAAGTGTTTAATTCTGATAATTTCTGAATGTTTTCCTGCATAAGAAATGCGCAAGTCACTTTTGTGAATAATTTTCAATTGAAAATGAACAGTTTTTAAAATTAAATTGATTTGTAAAACTTATTTGGACAATTTTTTAAGACTAAGACAATTTCTATCTGAGTGCAATTGTGATGAATCAGGTTTTGCACCACCTTTGCATGAAAGGTCACTTAAAATTACGCTTACAGTCCCTTTAATACCTACTCCTTGCCGGTCAACCTCTTTAATTTCCATTGTTTCTGTTGTGTCTATTTTACTTCTAATTTATATAGGAGAGTTCATATATAGTGGAAGACAATCTACTTCCTCTTTATACAAGGTTATATAAATATAAAAAAGGGATTAGCGTTTTTCAGCTCTTTTAATCTTTTTAAATGACTCGAAAATGTGATGAAGGATGTGTTTTTAATTTTAGAATAAGGTTTTTAAAAGTAAGTTTTTGTCTTGCTATTCTTCTGTTTGGTGTTAAAATATGTAGAATTTTCGAAAATCTCTCCGTTAAAAGCTAACCATTAATGTTAACAAAATAAAAACCATTTAAATCTATCTGAAACCCCTTAGATTTTTCTTCCGGGCTTTCCCACACTCTAAATTAAAAAGTCGTGATTAAGCGATAAAAAGTCGCCTGATCGGGTGAAAAAGTTGGATGGCACCCGATTAGGCGACAAAAAATCACTTAACATAAATCGCTTATTTTTAAAAAAATCGCTTTGTTTCAACAAAAAATTCGCTTATACTGCAGAAGAAGTTGGGGACTGCCAAATAAGCGACTGAAAATCGTTAGGGGCCTAGGACTCAGAGCTGTAACTTATTTCAAATCTGAAACTGAAGAGTGAAGAGTATTAAAAACATTAATTTGCTGTTTTTTTCTGCTAGTTTTGTTTGATGGAGAGATAAAGTAGTACTTGCAAGGTAATTGGACTGTATAGTGTATGTGTACCTTTAAAGTATCCAAGAAGCCAAATGTTTTGAATTTATGGTTTAAATTGTGCCCCCCTAGAAGCTCTAAGGGGGGGGGGGCAAAAAAAAATTTCGGTTCGGGCATATTTTGCCCCCCCCCAGATTTATTTCTGTATGCGCCCTTGTTGCATGGCATCAAATTGGGGATTCTTGAAGAAATAATTAGAAATGTAAACATAAAGTATTCATTATTATATTTTCTAGGCATGTTTTTGTCTCTCTGCTTTATTTTAGATTTTAATAGAATAATAAAAAATTGGTAATTTTTTAAAGTAAACAGAAATAATTTTAAACATTCGACATAGTTTTACGCCAAATGAAAGCAGCAAACGAGAAAATTATAATTGAATGGCCCCATCACCCCTTCTATAATTTAAATATATTTTAAGCACCTTTTCAAGTCATTGTAAAAGATTATTGAGGCTATAAACCGCTAATCCCTGTTTTTTTTTGGGTCACCGTGTACATAGTTGTGATATTGGTTTTTCTGTTTGTTTGTTTTCATGTCCGATCATAACTCATAAGCCCCTGAACCGATTTGCCTTAAATTTTTATTGAAAAACTTGGGAGAACTGCGAATATGTTCTAAGAGTCAATAAGTTTAGTATATCAACTTTAATAGCAAATATTTTGCTTCCCGGATAAATTGACCGAGTGTGGGTAAACGGCAGAAGTAACTATGAGTAACCTGGGCAGTGCTGTGTTCCCAAGCTAGTATTTACTAAAACTGTAATAATAAAAGGCTTTCAGGGCGCTTCGCAACCTTTCTTCTTGAAATAATTTTACCTTTTAGATGCAATCATTTTTACTTAATATATTGTACAAAATAATCATTTCAGAATTTGTTCAGTTTACAATTCGAATAGATGTACAGGTAGATAAGCTAAATATGAGTGCAAAGAAATAAGGGCAAAAAATACTTGAATATAAATTTTATTTTAGAACTAAGTTACGAAACCAGTTTTGCCTCTATACTTGTGTTTCCTAATAAAAGTCGACCCACTCTACTTAGAAGCTAAAACTCAAGCTAAGAACACTCCCGTGATTCTCCCGAGTTTCAAATTCAAAATTTGAGGCAAATTCGTGAAAGATTTACGATCAGGCATATAAACAAACAAACAGAGATTGCTACTTTATTTATATAGATAAAGAGCAAGAACTATTGATTGTTTTTGTTTTTAACTGAACCATGCATTTATAATTATTTGTTAAGGTTGTTTTATCATTTGGACTCATCCCAGATTATCACTTATAAAGCTGTTTATTTTATTTGTACAATTGTTTAGGCTGTTGTATAATTGGGACTCATCCCGCCTCATCACTTATAGAGCTGTTTATTTTACGTTTACTTGTTTAGGCTGTTGTATAATTGGGACACATTCCACCTCATCACGTATAAAGCTGTTTATTTTATTTTTACTTGTTTAGGCTGTTGTATAGACTCATCCTGCCTCATCACTTATAAAGCTGTTTATTTTACGTTTACTTGTTTAGGCTGTTGTATAATTGGGACACATTCCACCTCATCACGTATAAAGCTGTTTATTTTATTTTTACTTGTTTAGGCTGTTGTATAATTGGGACTCATCCTGCCTCATCACTTATAAAGCTGTTTATTTTACGTTTACTTGTTTAGGCTGTTGTATAATTGGGACTCATCCCGCCTCATCACTTATAAAGCTGTTTATTTTACTATTACTTGTTTAGGCTGTTGTATAATTGGGACACATTCCACCTCATCACGTATAAAGCTGTTTATTTTATTTTTACTTGTTTAAGCTGTAGTAAAATTGGGACCCATCCCGCCTCATCACTTATAAAGCTGTTCATTTTACTTTTACTTGTTGTATAGTTGGGACTAATACTGCCACATCACTTATAAAGCTGTTTATTTTACGTTTACTTGTTTAGGCTGTTGTATAATTGGGACTCATCCCAGCTCATCACTTATAAAGCTGTTCATTTTACTTTTACTTTTTTAGGCTGTTGTATAATTGGGACTCATCCCAGCTAATCACTTATAAAGCTGTTTATTTTACTATTACTGCTTTGGGACAGTTTACTGTCTTGCCGATCCTTCTTAAGGTAAATTAATGGCAAATTTCTTAGACGTTCTTACATGGGAAGAACCATGGTCACACCATGGTTATGCTTCAACAGAGCAGCCTAGATAGATATATACGACCTATAATTGTACCTATAGGTAACATGAATAAGAAATTGGCCATATGTGAAATTACAGGGTTGACCTTGTGATTGCGTAGATCAGCTAAAGTAAATTACACGTAAGATTAAAATCTTATATGGTGTCAATCCACGTGCAGCCGTAGTACATTTGAATTTCCGAGCGGGGTCAACCTTCCCTGTCCCAGTTTATACTGTACCGCACGGACATTGGGTTAATAAAGCAGACAATCAACAGGACTAGCCGGTGCAACAAGGTTGACGCGATCAGACTTTATGCTTCATATATACATGTTGAATTTACTTTTACAAAAGGGGCAGAGGTGCGTGTATCATACCTCTTTTTATTGAACAGTTATTAAAAAGAACAAAAACCATTTTCAATATCTAACCATGTAACCGTTAAAATGCGCTTTCTTGTTTTTCTTTTTAAAATCAAAACTAGAGGAGCCATGCGAGGTCACAATGGTTTTTCAATGCTTTGGACAAAATTTTCTAAAATTTAGTTCTGTTTGGATCTTGGGAAAAAAATAAAATATGAAAAATAAAATCTAAAATATTTTTGAGAACAAAGGGAAGTGAGGGGGTTGGGGTACATAAATCTAGATTCTACGCCCAGATAGGATTAAGTAACTTTTTGAGACTATTTTTTTTCCTGGAGGCAAAAGATCCATTTTGTTGACTATACTTTTTTATAGAAAAGATTGGGACTTGTTGTTCGTATATTTTGTAAAAAATCACTTTTTGATAAGTTATTTTAAAGAAAGGTCCACAATTGCAGGGTTTGAAACCTCAAGGATTTTTTAAATTTTAGTTTAAATATGAATTATTAAATTTGAAAAGGTGAATTGGGGAGTATTTTCTCCATGAATTTTGATATATTTAACCTAGAAGTTTATCTGTCAGAAACTTGAATAATCCATCAAAATGTCAGGTTATCAATCAAAGGCAGCGAGACCAGTATTCTAAATTTTGAAGATTTTTCAAAATCACATTATTTAACATTTTTTTAATATTAGTCAGGAGGGTAAAATCCAAAATATATGCAATAGACAAAATAGTTTATTGATGTGAGGTTCGCAATAAGTTTATGTATATGCGTACAATTAAATTCAGAGGATTATATTCAAATATGGGGTTACATATAAAGGATTAAATTTTGGTATAGGATTAAGTTTTTAACTTCAAGACTACATAGTTTAATTAATATAAAGCCATTCCAACGAAGAACCTTCAATGTACTTCGTTTTGTACAATTTGTGTATTTTCACATAGTGTATTTAGACTCTATATCAAGGTTCATAAAAAGTGTAAAGTGTCCACGCAAACTGATTTCAACATATATTGCTCAAATTATATGTAAACGATTCTGTTACAAAAAAATTTCTATTCAATCCGCATACCCTTTTTCTCGTCAACTTATTATATGCATTTAATGTTCTACCATTTCATTGGTACACTTCTCAATTTTAATGTTTTGCATAATCAAAGTAGCCTTGATTCCAAATTTTAATTAAAAATGTATCCGTAAATTAACTCTTATATAACTCTCTCAAGTAATTGTAAACGAGTTTGTTGTAAAACTTTATTATTTAACTCATGTAAACAATTATGTACGGAGATAATAAATATCTAGATCTTAAAAAAAGAATTAAATTAAGAATTGAATTCTTGACCTATTTTNTATCTATCTATCTATCTATCTATCTATCTATCTATCTATCTATCTTCTTCTACACCTTGATCATGTATCTAGGAGCAGCATCCAATAAACTCAGAGGAATACAGGTATCCATATATCTATCTATCTTCTACCCCCCCTTATTCGTGTCTAGGAGCAGCAGCTAATATAATTAGATTACCGTGCTCAGAGTAATACAGGAAAAATGTTGAGGAAGACCAGATTTTGTAATTTTCATATATTAATAAAATCGGATCAATCGTTATGGTCTGCGTGAGCACAGTAAATTAAATAAACAATATTTGTTTTGCAACAACAGATATTTGGTGAATTTTCCAGTTTCTACCATCCCAAGGAGATACTAACATCTAATAGTTAGATGTACATGTGTGAAACAACACAGGAACCTTTTATACAGGACTCTATTGTAGCTCCATCAGAAGGGTAGCAAAGGATCACGGTTGTAGAAATCTTCTAGGAATGATGGGTTTGATAAATTCATCTAGATTCGACTCTCTCTTATTGGTGGCATTCCGCATTCCTTTAGGAAAAATAGTTTTATTCTCAGAGTTTCTACATAGACGGTGAATATTATTTCTGATGAGTTTACATTTATCTGGTGCTCTAGGGTCCCATTTGAACACCCAAATATTTGTCTTGGTTTTTCAGACCTTGGTCTGAAAAGCAATTTTTGTATCTTGCATTTTCCTCTGGGTCCTTTTTTTCAAACTTAGCGCCTTTAACCAGGTCCTGATATGTTTTATCAAAGTTTCATCCACTGCAGGCTGCAAAATATAAGGCATATTCATGAATTCTGTCTTTTAGCAAACTATACTCTTGCTACAGTTCATTCTTAGTTGTGTCCAAAGATAATAGAATATAAATTAGAGTGGAATTTGCTAGAAAAAAGTGTAAAACGGCCATTTTGTTGTACTGTTTCCATACTGCATGTGTACTTCACATATTTATGCTTTATAACCTTTTGGGCCCTGGTATATCATTTTATAGAAAATCTAAAATTAATATTAAAAGAAAACAAAATTATGAAATAGGCTGGTTTCATAATTGACCGATCATCATTTCACATAGACTCTATGCCTTTCACTTTACAAACGATGATTTTCCGTTATAACTCTAAATCAAATGATGTTTTTATTCACCTAATTCATTATAAAGATTATTTAACTGCTTTAAAAAATTCGAGATTAAATGAATAGTCTAGGGAACATACTGTATTAATGTACCCTACTGCATATAATTTGTGAACATTTAAATGATTTGTACACTTTGAACTCCCCTTCAGGCTGAAAGGGACTGAAAAAACTCATAGCGAGAGATTCTTTAAATTCCCCTCTAATATATATTCGATTCTCTATAGTTGTGTCCCCTAGGGGAGACTATTAGACCTTTGAAAGTTGATGAGGATGACAACTATTGGGTAATATTGGTGGCTTTATTTGAAGTATTCTACTGTTTCTTTAAAACCATCAATGAGTTTCACAGTTTGGTTTAAGTAGTTTATAGAAGTACCTGAGCTCACTTTATATTTAAATAGGTGGATGCACATTCTGTAGATGATTTTCATAACTGACCACGTGATTAGGTTTAGTAAGAATGTTATACTGTCATCTTGGAACCTACTCCATGTTAAAAAATTGGTTAGAGTTGTCTGGAGTAGATGTCATTATCTATCTATCTATCTATCTATCTATCCTATCTATCTATCTATCTATCTACCTTTCTTTCATTTATTTTTGCATATTTTACTTTTAAATACGCGGGCAATAAGCATATGAAAAAATATAAATTCATTCTTTTCAGAAAATAAATGTGTAAATTAAAAACTTTAAATATTTGTTTCATCCAAAATTTCTCTCATCTTTGCTTTTGCATAGAGAACGTGGCAGTAAAAATCTAAGAACAGAGCTGAACAAAATTTCTTTAAAGCGACAGTCTTCGAAATCTGACGATAATGCCCCCATTTAAAGAAGGACTTGCCCGATTCACAACTGTACCTTAATTAAACTTAATTTGTTCAGCCAATAATTACCCGATCATCATTAGCCAGAGCACTACCACCGGATGAACTAGGTATTTTTTAATTGCTATTTATACTTTTGCTAAACAAATTACAATTTTACATATTAAATTATAATAGCTGAAGTGCCCGGCGTTGCCCGTGGAATAAAAAAAATCGAATTTTGAAAGAAAAACGTCGAATTTTGACAAATAAAACCCAATTTTTTAAAGGCTCTGTTACCCGGTTGGGGGCTAAAATAATGTCAACCAATTGGTCCAGCCGTTTGGCCAGCTATAGAGCTAACATGTAAATATCAGTATCATTGAGGCAACTTGCTCTCAGTATTTATCTACATAATAAAGCTTTTTGCTTGCCTATATAACTAGCCAAACGGACATTTTTTTCTTTGAAATCGATTTTTTTACTTTGTGTTTTGAAAATTCACGTGCACTTTAGCTATTAAATTATAGAGTAACAGAAGACATAACTTCCATCATGAATGCCAAATCCTTGGATTAGATATGATTTTAAAAATACTGAAAGAAACCATGACGGTGTGTTCTAGGTTCTATGTTTGGCTCTTTACAGTTTGCTGTCTGCTGCTCTCCATTAGTTTTAGCCCCCGCTGCAAGCTATTTCTACAATACAACTTTAGGAAACTCATTCTTAAACATTTGATATCGAAAAAACAAAAACATTTAGAAATGACGAAAACTTTGTTAGAATTTTGAGACTGGAGTATTAGGATTATATCACAACTTACATACTGAGTCCAAAATTAAAGAACTAAAGTTGCAGCTTAAAGGGACTGTAAAGGAAAAATGAAAGGGGGTATAGGCTGAAAGCTAATCACTTTAGCTCTTGATCGCGACCCATGAAAGTTTTATCTGATGTTACTATCTAGATACATGTCACTAGACCATTGTAAATGTTCTTAAATTTAATTTTGAAATTCTTCCGATCGCTCTATATTTTGACTAATAGTGTGTTTTTTACATTTTTTCTAATCTCGCACAAAACAACCATGACAGAATTGAAACTTTTCAATTGGTCCTGAAAAACTAGCTTCTTAATTTTTTGAAGGCCTTCAAAAATTATTTTAATTTTACAGTCAGAATCAGAAAACAGTGGAAGATTTGGCACCTTTTTTCAGTTCAGAAATGTCGATTAGAAAATGTAATTTGCGCAAAAAATTATATCGAAAATGTGCCTTAAAATTTAAATTATACTAGGTTTTTAGGGAGCTTCGCGCCCATCTTCTAGCTATTTCAACTTTAAATTGTGGCTTTGTCTCTGGGCATCTTCTTTTTGCATTTTCAAAAATTTACAAAAATAAAAAACTTTCAAACAAATATTTTTAA